TGTAGAACATGAAGAACCAGTGGCATCTACATCTGCAGAACACAAAGAACCAGTGGCATCTACATCTGTAGAACACGAAGAACCAGTGGCATCTACATCTGTAGAACACGAAGAACCAGTGGCATCTACATCTGCAGAACACGAAGAACCAGTGGCATCAACATCTGCAGAACACGAAGAACCAGTGGCATCTACATCTGTAGAACACGAAGAACCAGTGGCATCTACATCTGTAGAACACGAAGAACCAGTGGCATCTACATCTGCAGAACACGAAGAACCAGTGACACCTCCAGGAGATAATACAACTTTTAAAGACATTCCCCGTGTTTAGTGTACACGCCGTACAACGGCGTTTGGAATCTACAGGAGTAAAGCTGGGACTTACGAACACATCGACTTATGCACAGACACCTCCTGGAACCTAACTCGTTCATAAATAGAGGAGCCCCTGTACCGGGTAAGGCCTCCACTGCGCCACGTGTGTGACCCTGGCTGTCACAAGTGATAGGCACAACCAAGTGGCGGCTCATCATCATCATCATCACGTAGAAACAAATCCACGCGACCACGGGGAGAGAGACACCAAACTCCAAATATACAGCAGACGTCGTCAGGGTCGGGATCCAACCCACGACCTCCTGCATATACCAGGCGAAGTAGTTAACATCTCCTGGCCACCGTAGTATAGTAACGTGATCGAGCGCATGGAACTATGTCGCGCGAGTAGGAACAAGCGGTTTGTAACGGCCGCCTCGGCGCAGCGTCGTCATCGCCATCGTCATCGTCGCACGAGGCATTGGGACGCTGCTGGATGCTTCAAGACACTACCCCTACACGCGCACCCCAGTCTCTGTTCGGCCTCTGCGTTACGCATCTCACGTGTTATGGCCGACCGCGCTTTACCCCCTAGGTGAAATGTGTTATTTATTATAACGTGATTTGTTTCCCCGAAACGTCAGGACCAACGCATTGTGGGGAGAGAACAGGGCTGTTCCTACCAGTCAGCCAATCAGACTCGGCTGATTACTTACCCAATTGGAATGGACCTTGTTAAGCCAGCCAATCCGACTTTGACACGTGGGCTTTCGCGACCAATATCATTCGTAATAAAGGGTGTGGTTTTTTTTGTTTAGGGGTTAGATGGCGCAAAGTGTAAATGTGTCGTTAAACCCGCCACCACCCGACACAGTCAATTGGTGAGGTGTTGTCAAGCAAATAAAACTTGGTGCCAATCCGTTACCAGTTCAGCACTAACCGGTTGCGTGTTGGAGGATTCTGGCAATAATCGCCGATAATGCTGGATGCAATGACCAGCGAAACGTCAAACAGTTACTAAAATCGTAAATGTTGTAGTGGACTTACTCTCCAACGCACAAGTGGTTAGTGCTGAACTGGTCATGAATTGGCACCACGGTTTTTGTTGACGTGACACAGACGCCACCTTACTGAATTTACGTTTGTCGGGTGGTGGTGGTGGCAGGTTTAACGACACACAATCTCGATTTGAAGCTTTCGTGACTGCAGGAATCCATACTCTTTGGTTCTTTCAGTAAAGTCACGTGGTAGTTAGAACTACTTACACGATCTAACCCCCCCCCCCAAAAAAAAAAACATTAGTAATTAATCCGACTTTTTTTGTTGTTACATTTTATAAAAGAGATCATTTCAGGCACCAAGGTGTGATGTCCAAATGAGTTTTTTTTTTAACACGTTGCAAAAGTCAACCAATCAGATGTTAGGACTTCTTTGCAACCCGGCCAATCAGACTCCATGATTTGACTTCCCGTTTAGCTTTTGCACAGCACGAAGTCAACCAGATCGTGCATGATACTTCTAAGCGCGCCGATTAATGCTCACCGAGATTTAACGGCCACTGAGATCACCTCATTAGCCCTCAATCCAAACGGATTTTAACAGTTTCTAAACCGGCCATTTGGGCTTTGGGGATTTGGCAACCAACCAATTAAACATTAACACTGGCACGTCAACCAATCGGATTTTAGCAGTTATAAACCAGCCAATCAGGCACTGAGATTTGATATCCAATGAGATAAAAAAATACACTCTGCCCTTCTAAACTGGAAAAAAACAGGAGTTTATTTGGTCCAATAACGCCAGCCAATCAGGATTCAATACTTGAGGAAACAAACCAATCAGGTTGAAGCATGGCTAGCCAATTAACATGGCCTCAATACTCAGCATGTGTAAAGTTCAACCAATATTGATTTGAAGTTTTCGTGACTGCAGGGATCCATACTCTTTGGTTCTTTCGGTAAAGTCACGTGGTAGGTATAAAATAAATGAAGTGGGCCCCACTTCAGCAATTGTTTCTTGCTGTGGTTGTCCCACCTGATGACAGACGCTTGTGTTGTGCCCGAAACGTCGTGATTTAATTTATTTTATACCTACGTGACTTCACCGAAAGAACCAAAGAGTAAGGTTCAACCAATTGGGTTCAAGCGAGCAGTTCCTAGCTGACCAAGAAAAATTCAATACTGGAGTGTGGGGAAAAAATAACAACTGACCGACCAATAAGTTTGAAGCATGGCTAGCCAATCAACGTGGCCGCAATACTCAGCATGTGTTAGGTTCAACCAATCGGGTTAAAGCAGGCAGTTCCTAGCTGACCAATCAAAATTCAATACTGTACTAGGGTGTGGGGAAAAATAACTACCCGACCAATCAGGTTGAAGCATGGCTAGCCAATTAACGTGGCCTCAATACTCAGCATGTGTTAGGCTCAACCAATCGGGCTTAAGCAGGTAGTTCCGAGCTGACCAATCAAAATTCAATACTGTACTAGAGTGTGTGATACAAAAAAAACAACCAACGGACCAATCAGGTTGAAGCGTGGCTAGCCTATTAACGCGGCCTCAATACTCAGCATGTGTTCGGTTCAACCAATCGGGTTCAAGCAAGCGTTTCCTAGCTGACCAATCTAAATTCAATACCGTGCTAGAGTGTGGGATACGAAAAAAAAACAACCAACGGACCAATCAGGTTCAAGCATTGGGGACCTGCAAGACCTGTGCTGGAATGCGTGCACGTGTCACGTGTCCACACTGGTGAAACAAGACAAAGACAAAGGTCCACTCTGCAGCCTGAACGGTTTGATGGATACAAACTGGGGAGGTACACTCGATTCCGACACGCACGTTAGCTATTTCAGCTCTTGTTATTTTTGCCGTGTAAGGCCCCACTGAGCTGGAACATCTATAGATTTTTTTTTCTTTCAGAAGTGACGTCGCCAGCACAAATGATCGCTCAACGAAGTTGGGCTCATCATCGTGGCCGTGTGGACATTCATGTGGGGAGGAAAACCCCGAGGACCCCGGAGAAAAATCCACGCGACGACCACGGAGAGAGAGACACGCAAACTCCAAATACACAGCAGCCATCGCCAGGTTCACACCACGACCTCCTGCATACCGGGCGAGGTAATGAACATCTCGCCACCGCGGCACACATCGAAAACTAAAAACTAAAATATTTTTTTTATTTTACCAGGCTAAGGGCCCTTCCCCGTAAGCTATGTAGCTCTTTTTCAGAAGCGACCAGGCCACGCGTAAATGCTCGCTCAACGAAGTATGCTTCCACGTGGAAACTTACCGCGGCCAAATGCATGAAACGCGCGACGTCGATTCTAAACAGTGGAGGGGGAAAAACAGACCCGGGGGAAAAAATCCACGCGGCCACGGGGAGACAAACGCGCAAACTCCAGGGTCGGGATCGAACCGACCACGACCTCCTGTAAACCGGGCGAGGTAATTAACATCTCCTAGCCACCGCGGGCAAACCCGTCGAGGTGGCGAGCGGCTAAACTTGAGTCTTGAGTCTACGTCGGGATCGGCTCTTGGGCCCCAATGAAGGAAATTCGCCCTCCGGTTGATTTTTTTATTTTTTCACCACCCCAGGGCCGGGTCTGCCGAAATGTCTTCTCGCGGAGGAGAGAGGAGAGAGGAGACATCACCCCGTCTCCTGGCCCGTCTCTCACTCGAAACGGTTGGCGTGCGGTGGCGGCGGTGGCAGCGGTGGCGGCGGTGGCAGCGGTGGTGGTGGCGACGGCGGTGGTGGTGGCGGTGGTGGCATTGGTGGTGGTGGTGGTGGTGGCTGTGAATGTCTTCGGCATACCTCCGTCTGTAAAAGTTCTCATTATTTTTAGTTTTCCTACTGTGACCGTCCCCCTCTCTCCATTTAGTTACCGTGGCCAGAAGTCAGCCGCCCACACTATCCCGACACTCTCCCCACACTCTCCCCCCCACTCTCTCCTCACCCCCACTCTCTCCCCACTCTCTCACCACCACACCCCCCCACCACTCTCCCCGACTTTTACAGCCACCGCTCCCTGCTGACGACGACGACGCTGACCACGACGGCGACGACGACGACCACGACGGCGAATCGCAAACGCGGAGAGAGAGCGCAACGCGGAGCCCGCCGTTCATACAAACGCGCAGCGAGCAAAATAATTTAATTTAACGAGCTGCCCGCTAGGAACAAAAAAACGCACCGGGGTCATATTGTTGTTGTGGGGTAGTGGGGGGGGGGGAGGGTGAGTGGGGGGAGTGGAGAGTGTGGGAGGGAGGGAGGGGGGGGGGGCAAAAGTATAATAATAATAATTAATAATTATTAATAAATAGCAACCGGAGCTACGTTTAATCCATCGCCGAGACGGATCTCAAAACCGTGTACACGCGACCGCGCACGCACGCATACACACACGCGCGTGTACACGTGTACGCGTGTACGTGTGTGTATATGTGTGTACACGTGTACGCGTGTACGTGTGTGTACACGTGTACGCGTGTACGTGTGTACGTGTGTACGCGTGTACGTGTGTGTAGGTATCAATGTATCTCAGTGTATCCATCGGGGTTGGGAGCGTCACTGTCTCCGCCTCCGCCGTCCTGCGCGTCGTGGTGCGGTGAACGCACGCACGGACGCACGGACGCACGGACGCACGGACGGACGCGACCGACGTGCGAGGGGTTCAATCTTCACAGGGGCTCGTCGTCGACCGTCAGATCCTGCGACTCGGAATCTTGCGCCCTCAACGTCCTCACGTCGTCGTCGTCGTCGTCGTCGCCGTCGTCGTCGTCGTTGGCGTTCTCTTCACTTCGGAGATCCTCGTCGCGGCCTCCTCCGAGGTCACCGCCGTCGTTGTTGTTGTCGTCGGTGGCGGTGGTGGTGGTGGTGGTGGCGACATCGGTGATGTCATCGTCCTCACCGCCGTCGCCGCCGTCGTCACCGCCGCCGTCGTCGTGACCGCCACCACTGCCGTCGTCACCTCCACCGTAATCGGTGACTTCAACGCAGCCGGGCTCGCCTCCACAGTCTTCGGCGTCGCCGCCGCCGTCGCCGCCGTCGCCGCCGCCGTCGCCGCCGTCGCCGTCGTCGGCGATGTTTTCAAGTCCTTGGAAGTCTGAAGCGCAGTAGCAGAATCCGCCGCAACCGCCGCCGCCGCCGCCGCCGCCGCCGCAGCCGCCGCCGTCATCGCCGTCGCAACCACCGTCACCCGCCGTCACCGTGGTGGTGGTGGTGGCGGTGGTGACGACACCGGGGCCGCTCGGCCGCCGTGAGCTCGAACTGGAAGCGGTCGGCCTGCGGCTGCTGGCCGCCGGCGCCGTCCACCTCCGAGTTGGCCGCCGCCGCCGCCGCCGCGTTGCCGGCGGCGTCGGCGGCGTTGGCGGCCGACGCCGCCGCCGACGACGACGCCGACGCCGACGAGGCGGACGACGACGACGAGGCGGCGTTGGCGCCGCCGCCGCCGCCGCCGCCGTCGGGCGGCGGGGAGGGGCTGTTGGGGATGGCGTTCTGGTAGAAGTCGCGGTTCTCCTCCAGCAGTTCGAGCATCTCCTGTGCGTCGGGCTGCACCAGGTCGGCCCACGTCTCCCACAGCGGGTGGGCGATGTAGTCGATGAAGCCCACCTGGGGGGGTGAGAGGGTGGGTGGGGGGGGGGGGGGGGGCGCTGAGCGAGCCGCGCTACGGATCCGCCTTCGGCGGCCCCGGTCACCGTTGCGGTGCTGGCCGCCGACCCCCCCCCCCCCCCCCCGAGTCGTGTGCCACCGTGAGCCGGCCGTCACCGGCGCTGGCCGCTGACGGCGCTTGCCCCAACGGCGGCCTGTTACAGGCTCTGCCTTTGTCTTTGTACGCTCGCGCGATAGTGTAGTAGCGGTGTAGCGCTACGCTGCGCTATGAACCCGGCGACCCGGGTTCGATTCCCGCTCACGGCCAACACCGGTGACGATTATCTGAACCGGTCGCGTGCCTCTCCTAGGTCGACTCAGCCTCAAATGAGTACCTGGTGCGGTGTGTAGTAAACATTGCCACTAGGGAGACAAAGGCGGTCGGGCGTGGTGCTGGGCACCCACCCCCTCTCGTGTGCCATTCCGGCCTTCATAGGCGCTACGCTAACAGCACTTGCCCCTACAGTCTGTTAAGGCTACACGGGGGATCTTTTTTTTTGTACGCGCGTGTACGTGCGCGTGTACGTGCGTGTGTACGTGCGCGTGTACGTGTGTACGTGCGCGTGTACATGCGTGTGTACGTGCGTGTGTACGTGTGTGTGTACGTGTGTGTGTACGTGTGTACGTGCGTGTGTACGTGTGTACGTGCGTGTGTACGTGCGTGTGTACGTGCGTGTGTACGCGTGTACGTGCGTGTGTACGTGCGTGTGTACGTGTGTACGTGCGCGTGTACGTGCGTGTGTACGTGCGCGTGTACGTACGTGTGTACGTGCGTGTGTACGTGCGCGTGTACGTGCGTGTGTACGTGTGTACGTGTGTACGTGCGTGTGTACGTGCGTGTGTACGTGCGCGTGTACGTGTGTGTGTACGTGTGTACGTGTGTACGTGCGTGTGTACATGTGTACGTGCGTGTGTACGTGTGTACGTGTGTACGCGTGCGTCCTCCGTGCCTGCGACTTCTCGACGGAGGCGCTGTGGCGGTCGCACATGGGGCTGATGTCGATGCCGCGCTCGCGCTCACGGTCACCCTGCCCGTAGAACTCGTCCACGATGCGCCCCGTCCACTGCTGGTACAGCGCCAGCGGCTTCGTGGGGTTGCTCAGATCCGCACAGTGCACCATGTTCTGCAGCACCTGCTCGCGCCCGGGAGGGAGGGAGGGAGGGTGACGGGCGTGAGGGGTCGGAGTCACGGGGTCGGGTCAAGGGGTCACATGTCAGGTGAAGGGGTCGGGGTCAGGTGAAGGGGTCGGTTGTCAGGGGTCGGGTGTCAGGGGTCGGGTAAAGGGGTCGGGTGAAGGGGTCGGAGTCAGGGGTTGGGTGACGGGGGTCGGGTAAAGGGGTCGGGTGAAGGGGTCAGGTGAAGGGGTCGGGTGTCAGGTGTCAGGGGTCAGGTGACAGGGGGTTGGGGTCGGGGGTCAGGTGAAGGGGTCGGGTGTCAGGGGTCAGGTGACAGGGGGTTGATGTCGGGGGTCAGGTGAAGGGGTCGGGGTTCGTGTGATGCGCGCTGAGCGACCAACCCAGCCGGCCCCGGGCTCGAAACCCGGCTCACAACGCCACCGGTGGTGACGGTTATCTGAACCGGTCCTGGGCCTCCCCTAGCTCGACTCGGCCTCAAACGAGTACCTGGTGTAGCGGTGCGCAGTAAACATCGCCACGGGGGAGACAAAGGCGGCCGGGCACGGTTGGTTGGTGGCCAACCGACCGCGTCCGGCCTTCATAGGTGCTGCCGCCTAACAGCACTTGCCCCGACAGTTTGCTGAGGCTACACGCGGGGGGGATCTTTGTCTTTGGTGAGCGTGGCGACGGTGCCGGGCGTGATGGTGCCACCTGTATTCGGTCCGTGTAGTTGTCAAGCAGCAGCACCCCGGATGACGTCACCTTCTTGGTCTCCACCATCGTCTTGAGGTCGGCCAGGAGGTTCATGTGCTTGGACATGTCCGTGGCGAGCACCTGCATCGTCACCATCACCATCGACAACATCACCACCACCATCATCACCGCCATCACCACCACCATCATCATCATCACCATCACCACCATCACCATCATCACCATCACCACCATCACCATCATCACCACCACCACCATCATCACCACCACCACCATCATCACCACCACCACCACCACCATCATCACCACCATCACCACCACCACCACCATCATCACCACCACCATCACCACCACCATCACCACCACCACCATCATCATCAACATCCTGCACTTGACATTGACGGCGACGATGACGGTAACGCCGATGATGATGATGTTGACAATGATGACGTTGACAATGATGACGTTGACGACGATGATGATGATGATGACAATGACGATGATGACGATGATGACGATGACAATGATGACGATGATGACGATGATGATGATGACGTTAATGATGACGTTGACAATGACAATAATGATGACGCTGCTGATGATGACGTTGATAAAGATGACGATGACGACGATGATGATTTTTATAATGACGTTGACAATGATGATGACGATGACAACAACGATGATGATGACGTTGACGATGATGACGTTGACAATGACGGTGATGACGACGACGATGATGACGTTGATAACGATGACGTTGACAATGACGGTGATGACGACGACGATGATGATGACGTTGATAATGATAACGTTGACAATGACGGTGATGGCGACGATGATGATGATGACGTTGATGATGATGACGTTGACAAGGATGACGTTGACAAGGATGACGTTGACAATGACAGTGATGACAACGACGACGATGATGATGACGTTGATAACGATGACGTTGACAATGACGGTGATGACGACGATGATGTTGATAACGATGATGTTGATAACGATGACCTTGACAATGACGATGTTGATAACGACGACGACGATGACGTTGACAATGACGGTGATGACGATGACGACGACGACAATGGCGTTGATAACGATGACGTTGACAATGATGGTGATGACGACGATGATGATGACGTTGATAACGATGACATTGACAATGATGACGTTGACAGTGACGATGATGACGACGACAACGATGATGACGTTGACAATGACGGTGATGACGACAACGATGATGACAATGATAACGATGATGTTGACAATGACGGTGATGACGACGACAACGATGACGTTGACAATGACGGTGATGACGACGACGACGATTATGACGTTGATAACGATGACGTTGACAATGACGTTGATGACGACGACGATGATGACGTTGATAACGATGACGTTGACAATGACGGTGATGACCACGACGATGATGACGTTGATAACGATGACGTTGACAATGACGGTGATGACGACGACGATGATGATGCCGTTGATAACGATGACGTTGACAATGACGGTGATGACGACGACGACGATGATGATGTTGACAATGATGACGTTGACAATGATGACGTTGACAATGACGGTGATGATGACGACAACGATGATGACGTTGATAATGATGACGTTGACAATGACGGTGATGATGACGACGACGATTAAGACGTTGACAATGATGACGTTGACAACGATGACGTTGACAATGACGGTGATGACGACGACAACGATGACGTTGGCAATGATGACGTTGACAATGACGGTGATGACGACGACAACGATGACGTTGGCAATGACGGTGATGACGACGATGACGACGACGATTACGACGTTGGCAATTTTGACGTTGATAACGATGACGTTGACAATGACGGTGATGACGACGACAACAATGATGACGTTGACAATGACGATGACGACGACAACGATTATGACGTTGACAATGATGACGTTGACAACGATGACGTTGACAATGACGGTGATGACGACGACGACTATGACGTTGGCAACGGTAACGTTGACAATGATGATGTTGACGATGACGACAACAACGACGACGACGTCGACAATGACGGTGATGACGACGACAACGATGATGACGTTGACAATGACGACGTCGACGACAACAACAATGACGACGTCGACGACAACAACAATGACGACAACAACAATGACGACGTCGACAATGACGTTGACAATGACGACGTCGACGACAACAACAATGACGACGTCGACGACAACAACAATGACGACAACAACAATGACGACGTCGACAATGACGTTAACAATGACGACGTCGACAATAACAACAACAACAATGACGACAACAACAATGACGACAACAATGACGACGACGACAACGACAACGACGCTGCTGCCGGCGCACCATGTCGATGACCATCTTGCGCAGGCCCTGCCGCTGCTTCTTGCCCAGGCTCTGGAAGATGTCGCAGTTCTCCTCCTGCAGCAGCTTGAAGCCCACGGCCAGGTGGTGGTTCTCCAGCACCGACTCATCATTGTACATCAGGGCCAGCTCGGAGTCTACGCGGCGGGGGGGGGGCAGGGGGGGAGGGGAGCAGTGGGGGGGGGGGGGGGCACGGGAGGGGGGGAGGTGAGGCGGGGACAGTGTTTACTTGCCGGGGTAAATAAACACTCACACCACTACCATCACTATCATCACTATCACTCTTAATAAACACTCACACCACTACCACCACCACCCTTAATAAACACTCACACCACTACCACCACCACCCTTAATAAACACTCACACCACTACCATCACCCTTAATAAACACTCACACCACTACCATCACCCTTAATAAACACTCACACCACTACCATCACCCTTAATAAACACTCACACCACCACCACTCTTAATAAACACTCACACCACCACTACCACCACCCTTAATAAACACTCACACCACCACCACTACCACCCTTAATAAACACTCACACTACTACCACTACCACCACCCTTAATAAACACTACCACCACTACCATCACTACCACCCTTAATAAACACTCACACTACCACCACCACCACCCTTAATAAACACTCACACCACCACTACCACCCTTAATAAACACTCACACCACTACCACTACCACCACCCTCAATAAACACTCACACCACCACCACCCTTAATAAACACTCACACCACTACCACCCTTAATAAACACTCACACCACCACCATCACTACCACCCTTAATAAACACTCACACCACCACTACCACCCTTAATAAACACTCACACCACCACCACCACCACCACCCTTAATAAACACTCACACCACTACCACCCTTAATAAACACTCACACCACTACCATCAGTATCACCACCCTTAATAAACACTCACACCACTACCACCACCCTCAATAAACACTCACACCACTACTACCACTACCACCACTACCACCCTTAATATACACACTCACACCACTACCACCACCCTTAATAAACACTCACACCACCACCACTACCACCCTTAATAAACACTCACACCACTACCCTTAATAAACACTCACACCACTACCACCACCCTTAATAAATACTCACACCACTACCACTACCACCACCCTTAATAAACACTCACACCACTACCATCACCCTTAATAAACACTCACACCACTACCACCACCCTTAATAAACACTCACACCACTACCACTACCACCCTTAATAAACACTACCACCACCACCACCCTTAATAAACACTCACACCACTACCACCCTTAAGAAACACTCACACCACTACCACTACCACCCTTAATAAACACTCACACCACTATCACCCTTAATGAACACCACACCACTACCACTACCACCCTTAATAAACACTCACACCACTACCACCCTTAATAAACACTCACACCACTACTACCACTACCACCCTTAATAAACACTCACACCACCACCACTACCACCCTTAATAAACACTCACACCACTACCACCACCACCCTTAATAAACACTCACACCACCACTACCACCCTTAATAAACACTCACACCACCACCATCACTACCACCCTTAATAAACACTCACACCACTACCACCCTTAATAAACACTCATACCACTACCACCACTACCACCACTACCACCCTTAATAAACACTCACACCACTACCACCACCCCCCTTAATAAACACTCACACCACCACTACCACCCTTAATAAACACTCACACCACCACCACTACCACCCTTAATAAACACTCACACCACTACCACCACTACCACCCTTAATAAACACTCACACCACTACCACCACTACCACCCTTAATAAACACTCACACCACTACCACCCTTAATAAACACTCACACCACTACCACTACCACCCTTAATAAACACTCATACCACTACCACCACTACCACCCTTAATAAACACTCACACCACTACCACTACCCTTAATAAACACTCACACCACCACCACTACAACCCTTAATAAACACTCACACCACCACCACCCTTAATAAACACTCACACCACTACCACCACCACCCTCAATAAACACTCACACTACTACCACTACCACCACCACCCTTAATAAACACTCACACCACTACCACCACCACCCTTAATAAACACTCACACCACCACTACCACCCTTAATAAACACTCACACCACCACCACTACCAGCCTTAATAAACACTCACACCACTACCACCACCACCCTTAATAAACACTCACACTACCACCACTACCACCCTTAATAAACACTCACACCACCACCACTACCACCCTTAATAAACACTCACACCACTACCACCACCCTTAATAAATACTCACACCACCACCACCACCACCCTTAATAAACACTCACACCACCACCCTTAATAAACACTCACACTACTACCACTACCACTACCACCCTTAATAAACACTCACACTAATACTACCACCCTTAATAAACACTCACACCACTACCACCACCCTAAATAAACACTCACACCACTACTACCACACTTAATAAACACTCACACCACTACCACCACCACCCTTAATAAACACTCACACCACCACCATCACTACCACCCTTAATAAACACTCACACCACCACCATCACTACCACCCTTAATAAACACTCACACCACTACTACCACCACTACCACCACCCTTAATAAACACTCACACCACCACTACCACCCTTAATAAACACTCACACCACTACCACCACTACCACCCTTAATAAACACTCACACCACTACTACCACTACCACCACTACCACCCTTAATAAACACTCACACCACTACCACTACCACCACCCTTACTAAACACTCACACCACTACCACCACCCTTAATAAACACTCACACCACCACCGCTACCACCCTTAATAAACACTCACACCACCACCGCTACCACCCTTAATAAACACTCACACCACCACTACCACTACCATCACCCTTAATAAACACTCACACCACCACCACTACCACCCTTAATAAACACTCACACCACCACCACCACTACCACCACCCTTAATAAACACTCACACCACTACCACTACTACCACCCTTAATAAACACTCACACCAGCACTACCACCACTACCACCCATAATAAACACTCACACCACTACCATCACTACTATCGCCCTTAATAAACACTCACACCACCACCATCACTACCACCCTTAATAAACACTCACACCACTACCACCCTTAATAAACACTCACACCACTACCACCACCCTTAATAAACACTCACACCACCACTACCACTACCACCCTTAATAAACACTCACACCACTACCACCACCCTTAATAAACACTCACACCACTACCACTACCATCACCCTTAATAAACACTCACACCACCACCTTAATAAACACTCACACCACTACCACCACCCTTAATAAACACTCACACCACTACCACTACCATCACCCTTAATAAACACTCACACCACCACCACTACCACCCTTAATAAACACTCACACCACCACCGCTGCCACCCTTAATAAACACTCACACCACTACCACTACCACCACCCTTAATAAACACTCACACTACCACCACTACCATCACCCTTAATAAACACTCACACCACTACCACTACCACCCTTAATAAACACTCACACCACTACCACCCTTAATAAACACTCACACCACCACCACTATCACCACCACCCTTAATAAACACTCACACCACTACCACCCTTAATAAACACTCACACCACTACCACCCTTAATAAACACTCACACCAGCACTACCACCACTACCACCCATAATAAACACTCACACCACTACCATCACTACTATCACCCTTAATAAACACTCACACCACTACCACCACCACCCTTAATAAACACTCACACTACTACCACCCTAAATAAACACTCACACCACCACTACCACTACCACCCTAAATAAACACTCACACCACCACTACCACCCTAAATAAACACTCACACCACCACCACTACCACCACCCCCCCTGACCCCCCCCCGCCCCCCCCTCCACCCCTGCGCGAGCTGCGTGCACGCGTTGCCACGGAAACAGCCGTTCAGCCGGCAATTACTGCCGGGTTGCCATGGCAACAGCTGGGTGTGTCTGCATAGCTCACTCACTCAGTCACTCAGTCACTCACTCAGTCACTCACTTACTTAGTCACTCAGTCACTCACTCACTCAGTCGCCCACTCAGTCACTCACTCAGTCGCTCACTTAGTCACTCACTTAGTCACTCGCTCAGTCACTCAGTCACTCACTCACTCAGTCACTCACTCAGTCACTCAGTCGCTCGCTCACTCATTCAGTCACTCACTCACTCACTCAGTCACTCACTCAGTCGCTCACTTAGTCACTCACTTAGTCACTCACTTAGTCACTCAGTCACTCACTCAGTCACTCACTTAGTCACTCAGTCACTCACTCACTCAGTCACTCACTCAGTCACTCACTCACTCAGTCACTCACTCAGTCGCTCACTTAGTGACTTACTTAGTCACTCACTCAGTCACTCACTCACTCAGTCACTCAGTCGCTCGCTCACTCATTCAGTCACTCACTCACTCACTCAGTCACTCACTCAGTCGCTCACTTAGTCACTCACTTAGTCACTCACTTAGTCACTCACTCAGTCACTCACTCACTCAGTCACTCACTCAGTCACTCACTCACTCAGTCACTCAGTCGCTCACTCACCCGCTCGCTCACTCGCTCAATCACTCAGTCGCTCACTCAGTCACTCAGTCGCTCACTCAGTCGCTCGCTCAGTCGCTCGCTCGTTCACTCACTCACTCACTCAGTCACTCACTCAGTCACTCAGTCGCTCACTCAGTCCCTCAGTCGCTCAGTCGCTCACTCAGTCGCACGCTCACTCACTTAGTCGCTCACTCACCCGCTCGCTCGCTCACTCACTCGCTCAGTCACTCAGTCGCTCAGTCACCCGCTCGTTCACTCACTCAGTCGCTCACTCAGTCGCTCGCTCACTCACTCAGTCGCTCACTCAGTCGCTCACTCGCTCGCTCAGTCGCTCACTCAGTCACTCACTCAGTCGCTCGCTCGCTCACTCAGTCACTCAGTCGC